ACAAAACTCGTTTTCTCTCAGAATTTGACAGTTTAAAGCCTACTTTATGTGTATTTCCTAATCCTTTCTTATTTTCAAATGGTTGGAATTGCTAATTAGCTGTCAATAGCTGTAGGTACATACAAATATAGCAACAAAGGGGTTTGACCCCGCCCACTCACCGTGTCACTATGCGGTTGTGTATGTGTGTGTGTGTAGGTCAAGTGCAGGCGTTGACAAATTGTCGTCGGTGTTTGCGTGCTGTCTTGCACAATCCTTTTTGCATTTGACAGGCGATGGCATAAAATAACAATAATGATGACAGCACCTGGCTTGCACTCGAGAGCCATCTATCCTGTTTCCCCCACTCCCTTACAGTCTGCCCCCCTTCTAACGACTAGCAGCCCCACCTGCCCCAGACAATGGACGTCACATGGCGGCCAGTGGTGACACAGTTTTAGATTCGAAATCCTAGCTTTCAAACTCATTTACTTTTAAATTCTCTAAGTTATTCACAAGCCGAAGTTATGTAGTATATGTATATCCTGCATCCATTTACATAAGAAATTTTTCTGTAAAATGGATTGATCATGACTTCCGAATAAGTTCTCATATGTATGTACATATGTGTTTAAAAACAATTAAGTTGAAGAGGAAAATTAACATTCCTTTTCATGTTTCGATCTTAACGTACTACTAAAATTGTATAAAATGACGACAGAAAAACTCTTCGAACTACAGTTTCAGAACATTTTTTTGTAGCTTACTCTTAAATTTTTAAACTTTTTCGTCGAAACAAATCGATTTGACAATTAGAATGCTATATATACATACATACATACAAATGTACTTATATGGTCCAAACTATCAAATGTAAAAACTCATCAAATAGATTGTGGTTTTTGTTGTACTACTACATTCCATGGCACAGGAACACAAAATCGAACCTTTTTTTCACGAATCATTTTCACTTTTCTATGATATTTGCGTGCTTCTGGGTAAAAACCGCTTACAAACTTAAGTTCCATCACCCCGAGTTTCCACTGTATAGCTAAGAAAACGAAAGTCCGATGTTTTAAATTAATTCATTAGTGTTGATTATAATCATCATTTAGATATGAAGACTAGGTGGCTTCTAGAAAAAAAACAAGATCGGTAGCACTACTGCTGGCACTTTATGTGCGTGACGTCAGCGTTCTACGTACTGCGTGCTACGTGCCGAAGACCCTGTCTCTCTTTCTCTGCCTGCTTCTCTGCCAGCGTCGGTTTTCACACGCTGCAACTTCGGAAATTTTATTCAAATGTATATATACTCGGTATTGTTCGTCACTGGTCGTTTGGCTTATAGGAACAGAAGGTGCGAGAAATAGTGTTAAAAAGTTGCGAAGAGGGTTAGATTGGTATTGGGAGTAAGTTGTTCTTCAATCGAAAAACACGTTTAGGTGAGTTTTTAGTTAGGTCACCTGATATCTCAAAACTCCACGGTAGTACCTAAGGTCTTTCCCCAACACCTCCCCCGAACCCCTGTGAAGCATTTTAAGTAAACATAATGTATCAACAAATAAAAATAAAATTCGGTTCGAAATAATACATGGAAAGCCTACAGATTGAAATTCCGAAACAAGTCAAACAAATAAAAACTTTGAAAACGTAAAAAAAAAAACAAAAAACGAAACGCACAATAAAATTATTACGGCTTAAAGATGAATAAAAGAGAAACAATAATATCAAAAACAAAAACGAACTAGAAACACGCCGGAAAATCGATAAAAACTATTTAATAAACGAATTAAAAAATATAACAAATTTGAAATGTTGGCATTTAAAGTGGCCAAAGAATATCTCGCGTAACCTGCTGAAATCGCGCGTTATTCTTCTCAACTGTGTTATTGTGCCAAAGGCCGTGTTCTTCAGTTATCACTTATGGAAAATCATAAAGATCATGGTTTCCGATGAACAGAAAATATGTGACAAAGTGATCAAAGTGAAACGGTGAACGCGGCCAATATGTGTGAATACTCAATAGTTTTTCCTAACTTATCTCTGTGATTGCAGCCCGTCAAATAAATAAAATTCAAGAAATAATTCAACGGAAAAAGATGGAAAACGCCTAGAAAAATCGGGGTAAAAACCGAAGAACCAAGCGAGAGAAATGTTTTAAACAAGAGTTGCCTTAACAATAGAACTTCCTTGTTGACTTACATATACATATATACAAATACATATACAGTGTACATATATACAAGAATATTATATACAAAATTTAAAACGAAATCAACAAATATCACGAAAACCAAAAGCATAAGTATATTTTTTATACAAGAGCAAAGCTAAGGAATACTTCAAATTGTAAATCGAAAATGCGCCTAAAAGAGACCACAAAAAAGTCGGCGCCACCAGCAACAACATCAGCCTCCCACAACAAGTCCGTACCGCTGTCCGGGGATCTGCTCGGTACGCTCCACATCTCGCCGCCACACCATCAGTTGCCGCTTTCCGTGCAGCTGCAACACCAGCAACATCAGCAACATCAGCAACATCAGCAGCACCAGCAACATCAACATCAGCAACGCTGCTCCAGCGTGGGCAGCACCAGCAGCAGCGGCACCTGCGAAACGGACCGCTCCTCCCACTCCGCCGGCTGCTGCTCGTCAGCACTTTCCCCCGCCGCTGGCATGATGCCCGGCCTGGGGGCGGGAGAAGGATTGGGTCCTGGAGCGATGCCGGGCGCGGTGGGGGAGCGGGAGCGGGAGTGCCGACGGCCGGCGATGCGGCCTCCGCTGCCGCTGTGCTTGCGGCCAATATCGCCGAGTCGTTCACGTTCCTGCAACAGCATGCGGCGCATCATTTTCGCGACATTTTGTATGCGGCCCACATGCTGGGAAGAGGTAAAGGAGTCACCAGTGGGTGGGAAAGGGGAGGCATTGTCGAGGGGTATTGTTGCACGACCTGCTGCTGTGGGCAGCAAACTGGAGCCGCTCAACTGGTTTCGCTAGCTTTTTTTCGGCCAGGCCAACTTTCACTTTATGCATTGTTGCCGCACTTCACTTTGCATTGCCTCGCCTTGCACTTGCCCCGCTCAGTAAAAGCTCCCTTAGCTGGCACCCTGAGTTGCGTTCCCAATCCTAGCCGTTTTCATTTGGAAGCCAACCATTACATGGCTTACAGCCAATTCGAAAATGTCCAAAAAGCATAAACGTGCAAATAATATTTTTGGAAAACCTCGCTTTCCTGTATTCAAAATATACAACATTTTATTTTACAAATTAATTCGGAACCTACTTTAATTTCCAATTTCCAATTTGCTCTAGCTGCAAACCTTTGTTAAAAGTTTACAAAATCGACCTTTTCTTTTCATTTTTGACTGTCGATGCTCACGCCTTGTACGATTAATTTTTGTAATGCTACTAAATGAAGAACTATTACAGAACAAAATTGGATCAGTATTTAAGCAAAAAAAACTCAAACAAAGCAAAGGTCAAAGTTTCGCGAGGATTGTCGCTGTATTCATTGCACTATGGGTTGAATGTCAATAATATTGGCATTTATTCAAAAAATTAAGCAGGACCTCTAAGAATTTGGGTGAACATTCGTTAGACTAAAGTAGAATTTATGAAACAAAATGTTATCACTTGAACCACGCCGTCCTCTTGCACCCATACCATCTAATATTCGTTAATGGCGTATTTATTATGAAAAATTTGATTAAAATACTTTTAAAATTTTAGATATTAAATCAATATAGTCTTCAGCGATCATACATTTATGCATGTATATGGTTTTTGTATCCCTATTTATATTCGTTCACATTTTTTTTTAACTGCAATAGTTCGATCTTCAGACAGAGAGAAATGCGTCTACTTTTACTACTTTTGGTTGTTTGAAACCGCAAGAAACACTTGTAACATTTACTGCTTTTTTTAAAGCCAAAAAGCATAATAATAATTTCTTTAAAACCTTACTTATGTAAGAGTAATATTTGTTAGAATACACCTAAGAAGTCACACTTGCATTACATGGGACAGAGCTATTATTCAGATATTATTCAATGTTAAATACCTGTCACAAACATTTTTTTTTTCCAAATTGTGGGACTTTTTACCCAAAGCGCATTTTATAAGTATTTCAGAGATTGACCCAATATAATCAACAATGACATTAATAATATGTACACAATAATTACTTACAAGACTTACTTTAAATGGATGTACCTGTCTTTATTTTTATTACATTTATTTCATTCAGTTCAATTAAAACAAGAGAGAACGCTATAGTCGGGTCCCCGACTATCAGATACCCGTTACTCAGGTAAAGGGAGTGCGAGGGAGATGGAGATAGAAACTTTGATCACGCATAACTTTTTAACGAATGGTCCGATTTCAAAACTTTCTTCTACATTTTGATAATAAACACAATAAAACTGCATTTTTACTTTTCCGAAATATTTAAATTTTTAAAATCGTATATAAGCGATTGTGGGCGTTAAAGGGGGCGTGGCACCGTTTTGAAACAAACTTGCGCTGCGTAGGAACTCCTAGAATCTGCATGCAAAATGCCAATCTTCTAGCTTTTATAGTTTCCGAGATCTCAGCGTTCATACGGACAGACAGACAGACAGACGGACAGACAGACAGACGGACAGACGGACATGGCTATATCGACTCGGCTAGTGACCCTGATCAAGAATATATATACTTTATAGGGTCGGAAACGCTTCCTTCTAGCTGTTACATACTTTTGCACGAATACAATATACCCTTTTACTTTACGAGTAACGGGTATAAATATTAGAGGGCATAATAGGATTATTCACCCCAATTTAACATTCTCTTCAAAAACTTTTACTGCGGAAAGTCTTGTAGAATAGGCATGGTCGTTTTTGAACACCTGTAAACATGTAAACCATAACCTAATCCTTTGACAATTAATTGATTATATCACGATTCCAAAGATATAAAATATATAATTATTGAAAAAGGGTTCATTGACTAACAGTATACTGTTGTTTCTTCCCATTGCAGGCTACTATCAGCCGGCTGGACCGCTGATCTCACCGCATGTGATCGCCGCCCCACCGCCGCCAGCGCAAGTGAAGAAGCTGCAGGAGGAGGACGGCGCCGCCCCTGCCGCCGGATCGCCCTCGCAGTTGCAGCACCAGGCGGCCGCCGAAGCCGCCGACCAGGCTGCAGCCCAGTCCCAGTCGCAAGCCCCATCGCATGCCCACGCCCACAATCCGCAGCAGGCGCACCATCCGCCGCAGCCACAGCCCTATCCGGCCAGCGCCGTGGCGGCCGCAGCCGCGGCAGCCGCCGCCCACCAGGGCGTGCCCTACTCGCGCTCGATGCACGCGGCCCAGATGCACTACTCGACCGCCTATCCGCCCAACTACTACGCGCCATACCCGGGCGAGGTCATGTGCTACTCGCCGCCCACCTACCAGCCCTACTTCTCGAGCAAGGTCTACCAGCCGTCGCACGCCGCGCATCCTGCCGCCCATCCGCAGGGTCCGCCGCCGCCAGGCGCCTACCGCCGCTATCCCTACTACCAGCACGCGGGTCCGCCTCCGCCGCACGAGCTCTACGAACAGCAGCCGCCCCCGCCGCCCGTCTCATCCGGCTCGGTGGCCGGTCCGCCGCAGCAGCAGCCTCCCACCAGCAGTTCAGGCGCAGCCGGAGCGGCCGGAGCAGCAGGAGCAGCGGGCGCACCCGCCGGCAGCCAGCTGGTCCCTGCCCACCAGCAACAGCACCAGCAGCAGCACTTGGAGCACTACCCGGGACCGCCCAGCTACTACGCCGGATACAGTCCCGGCGGAGGGGCGTCCTCCGGCCAGTGCTACACGCGCGGGTTGCAAGGACCGTATATGGGTAAGGAAAAGTATGGTCCAGTCCCGGATGCAATTAAGCCACTGCGAGGAGTTGCCAACTTAGATAGCCAGGACCTACCAACGTCTTTATGGAAATTGGACATGTCGTTATTATTATTTTATTTTTTAAAGTTACATGTTTCTACTTTAGCAGTAATAGTATTGTGCTACATTTTTAGGTCTATTGGATAAATATAATTATAGGAAGTCATGAAAATTAGATAGTGATTAATAGAGCGACAAAGTATTAATACTTATGTTTCTTAGTTTAGTCCTGATTATAGCTCGTGGATTCCGATCCACAGTTATTATTAATAAATGTGGAAATTTGTTTGTAATGTAATTTTTTCTCCTTTTTAAATTAAGTATGCCGATTTGTGCGGCCCGATCCAGATTCATGTTATAACTGATAGTTGGCAACACTTCTTATAAAATTGAAATATTTTTAACACAAATCAACTTCTGATCTTTGCAGAGTATCCACCGCAGTGTCCCTGCCCAATGCCTCAATCGTGTCCAAAAAACGTCCATACTGGGCCTCATATTGGTAGCAACATCATCAGCAACATCGACCAGAGCAGCAGCAAGAACAGCAGCAGCAGCAGCAATATGTTGCTGAGTGCCTCGAGCAACAGCAATATCAGCAGCAGCAGCACTTTGACTGCCTGCAGCAGCGCTACGACAACAACTACAGCGTCAGCGTTGACTACCAGTAGAGGCCCAGTGAAAAATGTGACCCATAACACTAGCGACAGTAGCAGCAACACCAGCAACAGTAGCAACACCAACAACAGCAGCCCCAGCAACATCAGCAGCAGCAACAGCAGCAGCCAGACAAGCGAGATGACTACGCGGGCAACAGCAGCAACAAACACGAACACGACGGCAACCACCGCCACCACGGGCACCCAGTGCCAGATGCTCGTGAAGACGGAGCTCAAGGGCGAGAATCCCCAAGTGACCAAGATGCAGTACGAGGCTCACGTGATGCCGCCGCCCACTCCGCCGGAGAGCTACTGTGCCAGCGACGAGAAGCTGCTCGATGACCAGGAGCAGGAGGCCGAGCTGGAGCTGCGACTGCGTCTGGGATTGCGGCTGGAGAAGAGTCACGGTGGGCAACAGCACATCGAGGCGTACGATCTCACCAGCAGCACCCCGCCCCCAGTAACCGCCCCTCAGGCGACAGCAGTGCCGCGCAAGGCGAGGATCGGCAAGAGCATGGCCAGGGAGATGGTCTATGCCGCCCAGCAGCAGCCGCTGCCGGAGATGCAGTTGAAGCAGCCGAAGGAAGCTGCAGCAAAAAAGGAAGCGGAACCAGAGATGCCTTTCGTACTTAAAGCGGAAATCAAAGCCGAAACCAAAATCAAAATCGAGCACGACGGCGAGGCGCAGGCCAGCACACATATCAGCCAACTGCCGGACCTGAAGCCCACCATCAAAACGGAACCAGAGCTGGAGCAGGAGACGGAAGCGGGCTCAGTTCCTCCTGTGGCTAAAACGGAGCCGGAGCAGAATCAGGAGACGGAGAAGGAGAAGGAGAAAGAGCTGCCGGATAGCGAGGAGCAGCAGCCCAGTGGTAGCAAGCAGCGCATCAACCTGCTGGCCTCCTCCGGTGGAAACAAGAAGACCAAGACGAACCACAGCTACAAGAGCCTGATCAAGCAGGCCGAGCCCAAGAATTACCTCTGTCCCGGCCGCAGGTTCGTCCGCCGCCACGGACGTGCCCCGGCCAAATATGCCAAGCGGCGTCAGATGATCTTGACGCAGCGACAGCAGCAGCGAATGCGACTGCAGCGCCGCGAGCAGCAGCAACAGCGACGCCAGCAACGCGAGGCGGCAGCAGCTGCAGCAGCAGCGTCCTCCTCTTTGGGAGCCACGCAGACGGAGGCAGGAGCAGAAGCGCTCAGCGTGCAGGAGCAGGCATCCATGACGCAGGTCAGCAGCTCGGCCACGCCCAGTGCATCGCCTAAGAGGGCTCGGCCTCGGAAACAGGAGATTGCCGCTCTGCATCTGCTCGAGGGCTTGGATACGACGATGAGTCGCGGTTACTTCAGTGATCCGGAGCTCAATCACAGCAGTCGTAAGCAGGCACCCACTGCAGTGGGCGGCCTTTATGCCGCGTCCTCGCCGCTGACCCTAGCGACAGACCCCAGAGGCAAACAGCCCGCTGCCGAGAAGCGCTCCAAGTCGGAGACCAAGAAGTCTCCGGCGGGAGGGCTCTCGGAGACTGCCATTCCCAGTAAGAAGCCACGCAAGCAGACCGCAGGCAAGACCAAGAGCAAGGGCAAGAAGTCGTCGGCAGCAGGAGCGGCGACAGTTGCATCCACGGCAGAAACACAAGCACCATCGGTGACATCGGGCACTGCGGCTACACAAGAGACCAACAACAACGAATATCAGACGGCAGATCTCCAGGCCCAGAAGTTCGGTGACTCACCAGCTGCCACCGATGCAACGGCAACGGCAACTGGAACAGTAACCTCTCAGCAGCAGCAGCAACATTCCGATGAGCAACACCAGTTTCTGGTGCCCAATCAGCCGGCTGCAGCAGCCGCTTCCGTTGCCCAAACGACCACCCCTCCGCCCAACCGTCAAGGCCAGACGACGCACACGAAGCGGGCCAGATCGCGCTGCAAGTTCGGAAACCGCAAGCGCCAAAGGCAGCGACCTGGAGGCGTGAGCTACGAGCTGGATGAGACCCAACCGCCGGCAACCAAGGCCAATGTGGTGCCCAAGTGGAACAATGGATGGATGTGGGCGGGCAAAGCCTTCCAGGGCGCCGTCTTCCTCAATGTAAGTGTGCGCTGGCAATGTATTGGGGAATGCTCACTTAGACTGTTTTGTATTCAATAGAGCGATGATCCGCTAGTGCTGCGCACTTGCTACCCAGCCATGCGACATGTGGAGGGCGACATCATCCGCATCAGGGACTGTGTGCTACTTAAGGCCAACGAGGACAACGAGCTACCCTACGTGGCCAAGGTGGCGCATCTCTGGCAAAACCCCGAAGACGGTGAGTTTCCTGCAATTAGGAGCAGCAATCTATAAGACACTTTAAAAAAATGCCACTTATAAGGTTTAAATCTGGTTTATTTTTTTAACCAAGTACAGAAACGGCAGAAAAAATAACTATTATGAAGATAATTCTTCTTAGTGCTATACAGCTTACAGTTTACACATTATTTTTATTATCTTATTATTATAAAGTTAGTTTACTTACAATAAATAAGAGTGATTACTTCTACATTGCCAAAGGTTTTTAGAACTTAGGAACATTTTTCAAGCAAAATGGAACGGCAAAAATAGCATTGTTATCGGTTTTCGTATTAAAGCATTAACGAAAGTCTAGAATTTATATTCAGCATTACCAGAAGGTTCCATATATGACGTAACGAGTCAGATCGAGTGACTATATCAAAATGCATGCATATAAACAATGAGGAAAATAATTGGAACAAAATAAACCTTGTTTTTTTGGAGCATATTATATATTCCGAGATAAAGTAATTTTTAACAATTAAATAGTTCGGACAACTATATCGTATAGCTGCTATAGAAAAGATCCGAAAATTAATAGAAAACTTACACGAAAATCAAGTCAAAATTTCGCTGTCGCAAAACAAAAATGGTTTAAAATTAAACTAAGTTGAATTGGCTTTACAAACTATTTTCGATATGAAAATAAGAATTATTTTTAAATTTGATTCATGGTTATAATTGCACCGTCAATCCAATCGGTTCACAAATGTCAAATAAACCCATAAATACAAAAGTTAACGCACTAAACTGAGTGATCAGTTTAATCGAGCTGTAAAAAGCACTGATTCCAATTATTATTTGGGTATCAAACGAAAACTTAATTTTTAAATTTATGCTTACAGGCGAGATGATGATGTCGCTGTTGTGGTACTATCGGCCTGAGCACACAGATCAGGGACGGCAGCGCAACGATTGTCCAGACGAGGTGTATGCCTCCCGTCATCGTGACCACAACTCGGTGGCCTGCGTCGAAGACAAGTGCTATGTCCTCACCTTCAGCGAGTACTGCAGGTATGGGAGAAGCATGGGAGTTTATTAAGTCCACTATAACGAAATTTTTTCCACCCACAGGTATCGGCGCCGCCTGCGTGCCGCCGAGGAAGACGTGGAAGACGTAAGCATCGTGCCCCGTCGACCGATCAGTGCCACCGCTCCCTGGTATCCGGTGCGCACCGTGCCGGAGCACACCAATCCGGAGCTGGTCATGTTCTGCCGCAGAGCCTATGAGTTCCGGACGCGACGCCTGCTCAAGCTTCCCCAGAAGAACGGACTTGTGTGTAGCTCCAGCTAGCGCAAGGCATGAGCCATCGGCGAACGAACAACTCCTATCAAACAAGGGGATAGTTGAACTTTGGAGTGTAGGAACATTAGCTTAAATTCGGATTGCGATGGCAATCGGAGGAGCGAAGAGAAGTGAAGTGGAGAGTGGAGAAAGCCCTGGCAGAGGACAAAGAAATCGGAGAATGAAAGTTACATTGTTTTGATCAGTCTACAGTATTGTTAAAGATATTGTTTGTCTTTGTTGTTAAGAGAGATCTTGTTAGGATGGGCCCGGGCTATGCAGCTGCATTCGTTGTTCCTAACCAAATTTCGATTGGTCTCGTTGCGCCTCTCCGTTCGATGTTTCCTGACCCAAATACTTGGACGCGTACACTACCTCTGTCGGGGCAGGATAAGAGACACACAGATACACCCAAACACACGGCTAACACCCAGACATACACCAGACCAAAATGTAGGCAAGAGATTTTCTCTTAGATGTGAGAATTTAGAGAGAGGTTAGAATGGAAAGCATAACGTCGAAAAGCAACTGCTAGGAGAAAGCATTAAATATTTTACATTGTATTACATAATTTATTTATTCTGACTACACCCCCCACCAACCCACACGCACGGATATTTTTGTTATTAAGTTGTATGTATTTATTATCATTAATATTGAGATAGTCAACATTCTGCGGACAGTTTTCCGTTCACTTTTGCTCTTGTTGCTCGAGAAATTCTATTAACAGATAATCCATTAGTTTTTCTTGAAGACTGTTTCTGAGAAGTCATTTTAATGAACCGTTGCTACATAACTATTAAAGGCGCCAAATCTCTTTAAGCCGACATCCAATTAAAATTTAATGAGCAACAAAATAAAAAAAACAAGACAACAAAGTTATCAATTCTGTAGAGAACTTTGGATCCGGATTAATTTATGAAGCCTTTGTTAACTTTGAATTAGAGGTGTCCCGGAAAGACAAAGAAAGAAATTTTTTACGTAGAAAATATAACGTATTAAAAACTTGAAATCTTTTGTGACGCCAGTCTACCGACTTTAAAATGTAATGATTTCGTATTCCTTTTACGAAATTTCACGTCATTGCAACACTTTGAATTCATATTTAAAATGTAAATGGGAAAAGTTAATCGGGCACTTATTTGTTTAACAAGTAAAACATCAATAATTAGCGACGCTATCTTGAGGAACGGTTTCCCACTCTCGTTTCATTTATACTCAAAATTAAAAATTTCCTACCCCATTTAGTCAATAAATTCAGATATAAGTATGTAAAATCATGCTTAACCTATTGATGCTCAGGCAAATACTTTGCGCACAGACAGACCAACTTAACTATTAATTCTTCGAAATGAGATTTCAGGCTCCAAAGGCGGAAAACTGGAAGACTTGACATGGATTTTTTGCTAGGCGCTGTTTGTATATTTTTTTAGTTGTTGTTAGTTTTTGTAAGCGAAGGAAAAAACATTTTGTACTCTTAATTTGACAATTTTTTTTGTTTTCGTTTTATTTTGGAAATTTGATTTCAGAGATATCATTTTCTGTTTACTTTATAATTCAGCTGCAAACAGAAATAACAACAGAAACAACAACAAGTCACATTATTATATTATATATACAAATATATATATATTTACACGTAGTTTTATATAAACAAATATCCTTATCCATATAAATATTTTTTTTAAACCCTAATTTAATTTAGTTTTAGCTTTTTTAATTAATAAGTTTATACTTTAATAGTTTGTTTTATACCAAATACACAAAAAAACATATTGCGATTCTAAAAACCTATTTATGCACACCCAAACACACATACATCTATGCACAAGTGTATAGTTTTATAAATATATATGAATATGATTGAATGTACAATTTTTTTAACCAATTTCCTGTTTTCCTTTTTGGTTTATGGTTTTTTATTGTAAGGTGAAGATCGGAATTCTTTTTGGGGCCTACTTTCGGGCTGACAAAGGAAATATTTTCCAGATCTGCCGGATGCGTGGGCGGTTAGGTGTAGGCTAGTAGGCGTGGCAATGTGTAGAGCTATGGATAAAGCAATGTAGGACAACAGGAAATGCTGTCGACGCTTTGGAATAGAATGTGCAAAAGATAGAAATCGTATATAAATACACACATATATAGGGAGCATAGCCAAACATATGATACAAGTATACAACAACAGGAACTCACACACACACTCACGCACACAAGGATCGATCCATTATTACATATGTATACCTAGAGAAGCAGGACGACGAAAGAATTCAATTAGTGAAAATCAACAAGCAACCACAAATTGTAGCCTAAATTACCAAAACAAACAAACAAACAATATATTTGTATGCCATATATATATTATATATACACAATACATATACATACACATATACATATATAGATATCTATATATACTGGAGCCTTGTTCCTGCTGGGCCAATACAAGGACACATATATATTTCTATAGGCAAATTGAAGGAACCACAGGAAGCAACCACAACAGAAAGCAATTCAAAACAGTTTGTATTATAGATGGGAGACGTCCAAGGTTTTGGCGTTCTTCACAGCAGAGTACAGTCAATCCACACTAACAGAAACACACACACACCAATGCTTCAGAACCCAAGTTCACTGACAAACATGTTTTTTCGCTGGATTCTGTTGGATAAGGGAAATGTGTATGCCTAATTGTATTTTGTAGAGAAATCTAAGCCCCTTGAATCCCGTTTAAAAATCATTTCATTCCGATCTTGTCAGAGTCTTTCTGCATGATAATTTCCATATAGTTATTAGTTATAGTTATACGTCTGTAAGTCCTCGGTCTGATGTTTTTCTTGAATGTTTGCTTCAAGAAATACATTTTCAGAAAATTATTACGTACAACTGAAAATCCACAACACAACAAATGCAAAACGAACATTAACCAGAGCAAGAACAAAATAAATAAAATAAAACCAGGAAGAACAAGAACAAAACAAGATCAATAAAACAAATCCAACATAATTATTGTTTATTACTAGACTAATAAATGTATTTTTTGGCAGATTACTCGAATTCTCATTATTTACTGTTGGGTATATCGGCGATTCAGCTCGGTGACATTCAGGGCGTTATTAAAGACTGGAGTATTACCTTAATGCAACCTTCGATCAAGACCAAATCAAGTTCTCACGACGCGGCAATAAAAGCAAATAAACAAGTGCAATAACATGGATTCAATGGCATCGACATGAGGATGGTCACTACAAACGTTTTGGAACTACGTAAATGGACCTTTCGTTAGTTTAACTAAAAAGATTAAAGTTTATCCACCAACATCATTTCTAATTCATTCCCGTTGGGCTTCGTAAAGGTTATAAGGAGTCTGATTTCAATTTAAATATCCTCGCCTTATCTAGCAACTTGAAAGCCTTTTTCGAAATAAACCAGTTTTGGAGTGGGTTGAGTTTAAATACATCAAAATATTTTTACATTTTGAAAATACGTTTATTTTTGGTATATGTAACTATGTATGTCCTGCTTCATAAAATGTTCAACTTTTAACAGATGAATAGTTCTAAATTTAAGAGGACAATGACAGACATTTTTATTGGTTTTACAGTAGTGTAAGTACGAAAGGTATGCCATCTATGTCTATGTCAGGGTATTCCCTGCCTCGACGACTCGCATCAGCCCTCTCTCTTCTGACACATCACGCCCCGAAAAGTGGCGGCAATGACAATTATCGCCGGCACGTAAGACTGAGAACTGAAATCACAGAGTGATCACACTTTTGACATTGACATCGCGTCGCTAAGTAACCGACAAACAGGCGAACACAAAATCTTTTGCTTGGGCAATTAAATTAATCGCCGGGTAAATTGTTCCCTCGGATATGGTAAAAGAAAGTCAGATCCAGATCCAGTCGCAGGCATATATACTTATCTATGTGCTAATTAGTGTCTACATGTGCATGTCTCAATTATCCGACCGCATTTACATGCAAAACATATGTATTTCTGGTATTTTCGTATCTTGGGGATCCTATGAGCTCATGTGGCCGTGTGACTCAGTTAGGTTGGCCCAAAACTTTATCAACAGGTGTCGACAGGTGTTCAATGTTTGTTTACTTGTTTATTGTCTTTGTTTTCGTTTAGATTGCGTTTCTTGTGTATTTTTGTTTGCCGTTTGCCTTCCGGGGGAGGCCAATTACATGGGCGTTGCTCGTCTAAATATATTAATTGTGTGGGCGTGCCTCAAGGAGATGACGTTCCCGATCTGCTAATTTAACATCTTAGTCACCAAAACTGCGCAGCTGCGTGCGAAATAATAATTTGTGTATTTCACGAGTTCGGATGAACTTAATTAGCGAATATTGAGAGTACTGCCAGAAAAAAATATATTTTTCATACATACATATATGAGAATCCGGCTGTATTATTCGGGAGCTCATTATTTGCTATGTTCCTTAAAACTAACTATATACTATTAACTTTTAACTTAAGTTTCTACAATTTTATTATTTACTTGTTTCCTACCTTCGCGATAAACATTATTTTCAATCGTAGTTCGTAGTATTTAAATTTGGCTTAAAATTATTAGCTAGTGTTCTTTTAAGACCTGTGCTTTGATCAAGTTTAATTTTTATATTTTGTAACCGTGGGGTAGAATATCGCAGAAGGTAGAAGAATGCCTTCCGATCCCAAAAAGGTACACATTGATTGGATCATCATGTAGATTTTAGATTTCAACAGAATACTAAGATTACTCGGACGTTCAAGTCGCCAAGTTCTGGCAATGGGTCAATACCACAGAAATTTTTCCAAGCACATTATCAAGGTATTAAGTTAAGGGAAATAAAATTCAGGCCTTGTTAACCATGTTATTAAGCATAACTAGCATAAATACGCTTACTGGCATGCGCTGTTCAAAGCATATGTATAAGTCCTTATAACAGAGAATCTGGTGTTCGAGACACTCGATTACCTTACCCTCTCGTTTAACTGAAATTAGGTTTAATTTTAATTGGCCTCATTGTTCGTAGATCAGAAGTTTTAAAAGTCATTACCGATAGCTTCCCCACATTGACAATAATGAGATCTGAATACCAGCAAAACAAATAAACAATTGACTTGATAATCAGTTTTTTTTTAATTTAAAAAAATTTACATATTCGAACATTTGACATAATCTAAGCTTAGAAATAAAGTAAAAAAAAACGCTACACACAATAAACATTTCCCGCGCTGCAACCGCATTATAGTCGCGTGGTGGCCACCGTTAAGGCCAGTGCAATTGCCAAGGTCGCGCCCACCGAGGTGCTAATGACCGCTGCCGCGTTCTGATAGCCGTAAGTCCCGGGATAGTTGGGATCCGGCCGACCGCCCATGTAGCCGGGCTGCCCGGGCTGTCCGGTTTGGCTGCCGTAGGAGAAGGGTCGGCCGTGCTCATCTGTGCCGCCGACGTAGTACGCTCCGTTGCCCCCCGCCCCGCCGTAGGAGCCCCGCGAATCGATTCCGGCGTACCCGTAGCTGTACTGCGGATCCTGCCCGCTCAGACTGCCCGGCGGATGCATTCCGCCCGACTGAGCGTTCGACCAGGCGCCCACTCCAGCCGCATTCCCGTTGTTCCAGTGCACCGTTCCGGCCTGGGCGTCCACTAGATAAATGAAAGAAGAAAGAAGAATTAGAACGGCTAAAAAATAACTTGTATATTTGTATCTGATTGGCTGTAAATGCAATTCAAAATGATGTGTGCCTTTAGCTAAGTCATTAGTTTCTACATAAGAAAGCTATCTGCATGCGTAGCTGAGGCATCGTTTCAACCACTTTAGTTCGTTAAGAATTCTTGATTAGCACATCCCGCTTAAAATTACGAACATTATTGATAACCTTTTATTGCATTCCTTTTCTCTTTGTACTTTTAGAAGCCCGTACCGATCTCTCAATCTGATATGAAATCCTCTAGATCTCTGCCAAATTAAAGGTTTGCCTAAAAACTACAACAGTTGCCTGTTGCGTTATTATCAATTGTGTTGTAAACAATCCTTTAAAAACACTTTTTCACTAAAAAAAAAATATTTTGATGTATTGTTTAAAAAGCGTAACGCGTTCGGTATTTAATATTTGAACTGAAATTACTTTCCAGTCCACTGTTATCCATCATGTTGTGATTTGTTTGAGTTACTTTCTTTCTAGTAAGTTTTCTATTTGTTTTGTAAGCCGCTTGTTAGGTTCTTGGGCTTTCTATTTCGTGTTCGTAATTGACCAGCTTCTTTCCAACGATTCTCTTCGACCCTCCCACTCACCCGAACTGAATTTGGCGAGTGCCAAGCAGATCACAATGCTGCCACTCAAGATCCGATTGAAATTCGACATGTTTACCGATTGCGCGCTTTACTCCAACTAAACCGCTGACAAAGTGCCGGCGACGGTTTTAAACTCGTTTCCCAGGCCAAGATCTCAACCAACCGCAACAACAATCGCTGTTTGCTGTTTGCTGTTGCCAGTCATCATCATTTGTTGTTGTTGATTTTAATTGTTTTCCACTCAATTTAAAGGGTGTTCGGCTGATCGACGTTGTTGAGTTAGGAACTTAAACACTGCAATTGTTTCGATTTGATTAAAATATAAAATGCCTTGCATACCCAAAAAACTAAAGCGTACAAATTTATAACGTCCATAATTTGTATTTTGTAATATTTAGCTAAAATACCAATTATATATTAAAGAAAGGTTTTTTTTTTAAATTTAAAATTCTCCATTATTTAATCTTGTAAATAGTGAACGTTCGTGTTAGTGTAAGTTTAGTAAACAATTAGAATAATTCAAAATTTCAAGTGAATGGGTGATTTTTTTTTAAATTTATATTTCGTACTTTTATTTCAGAGTTTTGTTAATACCACAGTAACAACATATTTTGGTACAGGGTATGTTAGGGCAGTTGGTAAGTCGTTCAGCCAGGTTTTAGCTTATTTCCCGATTCGGAACACGCAATATAATGTGAATGCGGTTAAAATTTTCGGTCGACGTGAGAATCTCATGCATTTGTTGCTGTTTTTTTGCTGAATGGAACACGTTAATTTGTTGGGTCATTAATGATATGCATGACGCTGTCCAGGGCCATCGCGGGTTAAAGGGGGCTGTCAATGTTGGTTTGCCCAATAAGCTGGGACATCTCCACGAGGATCTGGAGACAGGGTTAGTCCGCTTTGATGTTCGCCCGAATTGCATTCAGCTGGCTACTGCTCGTCGGGCTTCTCTCTTGGTCATATTTTACAAATGTACATTCATGGGTTGTTTTCCATCCGTTTCACACCTTTCAGGTAAGAAGAGGGGTGTCCCAGAAGCTAAACAATGCAGGCACGTTGTGGCTGGCGGTCGGCTGGCTGATAGAAAACGAAAAGCCCCAACACAATTGTTGGGGCACTGCAAATTATTTGCTTTCTCGCTTGTGACGTAAAGCAAATTTAGGTCGGGCGATATGGTAATACTTGTGGAATCTAAGCAGCGCCGTTCGCAACTATTGAATAGTTTGTATTTTTATCTTTTGACCTGGAGAAGAGAAGAGAGTGAAACTGAATGGTGACACTTGCCATGGGCTAAAACGTTCATTAAAGACTATTTTAGTTATAAGTATATACATAGGTAAAATCGTAAAATATTAGAAAAAAGCATTTAATTTTTAGAAAATATTTAAACCTTTTTGAGTTTTTTATATTTTAAGGAGGCGGCTTCCTTCTTTTTTAAACTATTAATTCTTAAAACATTCCGTTAAAAATGCTTTTATGTATTTGTTCATCTACCTTTGTAACCACATCAATAAATGTAGTTAATTGCATTAAAGGGTAGTTTTTGTAGTTTTCAAAACAATAACTCCCAAAATATTATATAACAAAATAAACAAGTTTTTAAAGTATAATGTATATTTCTATCTACTTAAGCACAATTATAAAAAGTAAGAACAATAATTCTAAAAATATTATATAAAAAATAAGCAAGTTTTTAAAGTATATTGTATATTTCTATCTACTTAAGCACAATTATAAAATGTCCCATATCATTCAGTGATAAAATCATGAGTATATTTCGAGTATCTTGGATGCCTTTGAGTACTCGATACCCTGCGTGGAATCGATAGGTAATAGCACCCAACTGGGACCAGCTGGCAACCCTGGGCGGACAGTGCTGCCACCAGGCGAACGGATCCTGCGCACTGGACCAACCTCTCCGGCCAAGGGTTCGGATCTGCCCCTTCCTGCGGCCTGGTTCTCCCTCTGTTTGTGTGTGCTTTCCCATTTACTACGTTTGTGTTATGGTTTTTCCTTTTGGGGGAGTCCAACCACCCGCCTCCCTGCTCCGAGTGAAATCGGAGAGGAAAAGCTAGTTCGAGTGCGATTGCCGCTGCTGCTGGTGCTGGCTGTCAGTTGGCCTGTTGGTGGATACTTGCCGATTTTCTGGCTCAGAGCGGTTTGTTTGCCCGCGAGCAAAATGCAGAAGGCCGAGTTTTAAATGAAATACTGATCGGCCAAGAGCATTACCAATCGAGGCCGCCAAAAGCCATCAAACAGTTGGCGAAAGTGCAACGAAAAGAGCAACAAATCGAGGAAAAGGGTGGTGAAAAGTGAGCGTAGGGTGCTGGACAAATTGCATTGCCTTCTTTCGGGCGCACAAAGAAAATGAGCGCAAAGGTAGGCCAAGAGCGCTTTTCTCTCTGTATGTGTGTGTGCCTATGTGTGTGTGTATGTGTTTGTTATAAAGTGGTGTATGTGCGTGTGTATCAAAAATATTGCCTCCAAGTCACCTCCCCTCCCTTCCCCACCGACACCAAGCTGTAATTGCGTTTGCAATTGAATAAATGCATTGCAGCCACACCCCCCAACTCCCCCCCTCCTTTCAAACACCCTACCTTGGTATACACAAATTGCAGGGACTGCACCAAACATTAAGTCCGGCCCCTCCAGATTGATTTCCACCATATGGTATACCAGCCAATGAAGCCAGGATACTCGAGCTACAGCCGAGGAGGGAGATGGCGGACTGAGAGGACTCGTCTTACCACATCTCCACTCAATGCAATTTAAGTAAATGCCCCTTGCGGTGATTCGGAATCCTGAGGGTTCCCATCTGTTGACTTGCTAAAGAGGCCATAAAACGCGTTTTTAGCTCGGATAACTCCGAGAATCCACTATTTACTTCATGCTCCGGTTTATTGCAACTCACTTGGTATTTAAAGTGTTTATACCCTGTAATTTCATAGTTATAATACTTACAATTCCTCTTATGAGGCATTCGACCTAGAAGTTTGAAATTTGTTAGTAGAAAAAGTTTGTCAAAGGAATGACAAAATTCTGTAGCTTCAAAGTTTGCCGTGTTAAAGATTGTGGTGTTGAAACACTTTATTCAACCTACCTACAAACTTTAAAATTCCTTTGAATAAATAAAGTAACGGCACTAAAAACAACCTGACAGTAATAGATTGTTTTTAGTGCCGTTACTTTATTTATTCGAGACAGACTCTTCAAAGTATTCAACCCTGTAAATTGTTTCGTTATCTATATGCCATGACAGCTCTTAATGAATTATAAAGGAAAATCAATACAAATACTAATACAAATTTGCATCGCTAAGAAATTGGTCTGATTCTGGGTACTTTTTCCGCTTAGTTAAAACATTAAAGGCTATCAACATGGATATTTTTCAAGCATCTTTCTTTTATGTACGCATATCAATTTGGAATATTCTGACAACTATATCCTAAAGTTGCAATGATCGATCAGAACAACTTTAATAAACCCTCTGCAATTGTATAATTTAATAATTTTAATACCAGTTATATTAAATACACTTATATACACTTAGCGTCTCTCTTTTCTGTAACAATACATTGTCGGTTTTATTGGTGGCCTGGCCAAAAGGAGAGCTCGTTAGAAATTTTGCCATTTAATGCCTGTTTACGTTCAACAATCTGCTAAATGTCAGTGCTTGTGTTTACATTTCGCTGGGATCGCATTTGGCAAAGATTCAGTGCAAAAACAATTCAGAACACACTTCTCTCTGCCCTGTTGCCATTTTTGGCGTGACCATCTCTTTTCCGTGACCTAAGCTTTTTGAGTCCCTATATAAATATGTCATCATACGGCCAAGCTTATGTCTGAGTACTTCGTTTATGCCAGCCTGCTTATATGTTTTAGTCGAGTGCGTTGTTTTCGCATCTATCATTCGATTCACATAGCGATACTCTGATAGCAAACACGTTCGTAAATATGTGCCAAAAGCCGATAGATATGAAAGATATTAATAAGCAGGCAGATCACAGCCTGGGCCACATTTATGGTTACACAAATCGAGTGCGATAATTGCTTTCATATGGCGCCTTCACAGTCCCCATTCCCAAATATATATTTTCAAATATTCCGTATTCCGTAGATGGGCGCAAACAAGTAAAATAGAAATGCACATAAACAATAACGAATGAATGGGGATTGCATTGCGTTAATTGAAAACATATTTTCGTTGGTATTGCCTCTCATTTTCCCTAAAATATTTCCATTCCCGGCCATATCGCCCATATCGCACACACAGCCGCGGGCGAGTCAATTAATTTGTGTACAATGCAAAACTATTCGATGTGCCGTGGCGGGAGGTCGGAGATGTTTGCCGGCTTTGGGGATTGGGGCATGGATGTATTGGGGAATTGGGGTATTGTCGAATTGGGGGCTTGCGAGCTCTCGCCACGACGTTCCTGTTTGGAAGCTCCGCGGGCTCGCTTCTCAGTGCCTATCCAACGGTCATGGGCTGAACACGAACATTATCGCCGCCGCGTTCCGTTATCGTATCGCTCATCCCGTTGAAAAGCCCAAAGAAAACAAACACCCAACCGAACCGAACCGAACCGGCCCGAATACCATTCCCTCCGGTGTGTCCATCCGGTGCCTTATAGATTGCCAAATATGTGGATCTCCGACTGCCGCTCGGTAGGTCTGACTTTTGGCTAGTGAAACATATCTACATATGTAGACTGCATTGGTCCGACCATATGCGATGGTGGAGTTTGTGGCGGCCATTGAGTGCTGACAAGTGGTTGGAAATGGTTTGGTGGTAGTGGGATTAACCCTTAGGAGGACAGGTGACACTGAAGATGTTGTTGGACCAAGGCATTTTTGAATTCCGGATTTTATATATGTGATTATACCCCTTCTGGGAAAGAGTCGAAATTAGTCAGCATTGCAGATAAACCCCAAAAACAAAAGCAGCGTGCTTTCCTTGAAATACAACTTGTTTATATCGCAGTCAGTGTATACATGAGTGCATAAATAAATATGTAAGAACGCAAAAAAGTGGTCAAGTCTTTAATCCGAAATTCAATGCGAGTTAAAAAAAGTAATATA